AGTTAGGACGTTAGGTATACTTATTATTACACTGGTTAATATCGTTTCGATATACTATAGAATTGTTAATACTTATTACTATTACTATATATTTATCGATTATTATCGTTCACAACAATCTAATATTAACAATAATAAATCATAGGTAGAACAAACCAAAAAATGCAGAAATGACGTAAAAGTCATCGCAGTTCTGTATTGAATCGCAAACAAAAATGTAACAAATTAAGAATTAAAAAAGAAACATCGTACTATAAAAATCATAGCAATTACTTACCTCCCAATCACGTACAAATGTACAATTACTACAGTGTATTGTTAATTATGACAAACGGGCACTTCTACACCATAGTGCGCTATAAATAATACGTTTAAAAATTAAAATTAATGCAAGACTCTAGTCCCACTCTCCAGGTACGGTTCATAAATTCATTAATCATCTATGATGACGAGGCAACTGTCTGAATATTCAAACAACATTGTAATAGTTTAATTGTTTTTTTTTTCATTTCTAAAATGAACAAAAGTATTTAGTTATAAAAATTAAATTAAATTAAATTCGCTCTTGCTATTATAATATAAGACTTGATAATTTCAGATTCAACAAGCTTCAATCTAAAAATAATGTAAACGACAGTACGACACATAAACGTGATACACATCGCAAAGTATTCTACCCTCTATATGTATGTAGGTAGGTACTACTCTTATAATTAAACTTATAAATTAGTTATAACTTATTATAATACCTACTATAATAATCCGTTTGTTTTTAATTAAAATAAAATTTATTTAATTTTCATAACTTTAAAGTGCCAAGGTCTCTTTTATATTTTGTGAAGTATCTATAAATAATTTTGGTTGGTACTTAATTTTAAATGTATTTTACAATTAAAAATTTGTTTAACTAAACTATATCAATTATGATTAAATAATTCGAAATTCAATTAATTATTACCCGTCTAAAGAGACATTTTAAATTCATGTTACAGATTTTTTCGAAGTGCGCTGTATTAAAAACAGAAAATGTCTTTTAATAAAAAATATATTGAATACAAAAATACAATTCAGTAATTCTCTATGGCTTTCCGCTATGGTTGAAAATGTCATAATAAAGTACCTACTTCAATATTATTAAGAGATATAAATGAAAATCTTTAATAATGTAGTCATGCATTTCTTAACGTATAGTTTATTTATTTTAAAGTATTAAACTGTAAATAGGTACTCGATAAAAAAATTAATAAAATGTCATAATACTTGCAGCAATATATTTTTTTATTTTATTAATTATAACATATTTTAATGTAAAACGTATAAACTATAATAGTCTTACGCCAAAGAAGAGTTAAGGACACGAACTAAGGGGAGTTAATCCTCTAGGAAACTGGCAAAACAAATGGTAGTACACACCCGGGATATAAAAATTAAGAAATAAGATCCTAAAACGGTTATGAATAATTATACTTGGCAAAAAATAAAATAAATAAATTATACTTTAAAAAAAAACTGCAAGATACAGAGTTTATAAAACTGACATTTAAATAATTATATATTTGAATAACTATCTAAATAAAAAAAAATAACAAATGGTTAGAAAACATAATGCTGTTTTTATATCATTATATTAAGTTCTTTAGGACGTGTTTTTCGTTATGTGAATAGTAATATGTGAGCAATTTTCTTTTTTTGCACAAAATCGACATTCCAATGCGACGGCTTTCTTCTAGGGTGTACAATACCCGTAGGAAACCCGCTACGGTGTACCTCCGGGGAATGCGAAAATGAACAATATATCAAAGTCCCAAAAGGCTTTAATATAATGTTTTTTTGCAATGGAGCAACGCAGACGTTTCCAAACTGACAACCCGAAATATGTTTATGAGAAATACAATTGAAACAAGCAAATTCAAATGGGCACTTATTTAGGATTTGGCTGGCTGAAAACAACACACGTTGAATTTATTTAGGCGGTGGATTTAGCGACAACGATAGTTTTAGTTGTTGTTTCCGAAAGTCTGTGCGTATACCTGCGACAATTATACGGCGACAATGGATATAACAATCGGCGTTTCGATAATAATGCGACGTTATACTATTATTACTATAATGCTGTTTGTTTTGACCTTCAAAATGGTATTTAATTTTAACGTGAATCACTATGACAGATTCTCACTACAAATTAATTTTCTTTTGAGACGATCAAGAAAATCGGAGATAGGTTTAAAATACTTTTATATTTCTCAGTGTAATGACTATACAATGACAAATGGCTTAGGAAAATAAATTCCAGTCACTCAAAAAGTATAATATTGCTCCTGGCCCAAATACTTCTCAAACGCACAAACTTAACCGATATCAAACGAGAACGTCAAAATATCAAAGAATTGTGAAATTTGAAAACAAAAATGTTAGTTTAAAAAAACTACAAAATATCCTACATCAGAATATTTTGAATGAACAAAATAAAATAATCAGCAGTTTGTGTGTGAAGGTCATTTCTGAACTAATGAATATAAACATATAGGATACCTTGCATTGTGCAACGCACCTACCCACAATAGCACTACACAACTGTTTTTTTTTTATTAAATAATAATACATCAACGAACATTCATATTCTAATGGATATTAAATACCTATCTATTGCAAATTAAATCTTATTTATTGATGGTATTTATTATTTAATATATACGCAGTATTTCCTTACTAACTTCGTTACCTATACCTATCAAAATTAGTATTATTGTTATTATTATGAACAGCTATTATGAGCTTGTCAGTGAAGTTATGAACCATTACCTACGTGGCCGAGTATTATTTGTTTATAAAATACAAACATATTGAATTACATATTAAAATACATCGCCAGGTAAACCCACATCAAGTTAAATTCTTGTATTCTATTAAAATTAATCAAATTTTTTCTTACAGCAAGCTTAATTATTATTCCTCTATCTTGTGCCGATATTTTGTTGAAACAACTTTTTTTATACATCTCTTTTTTAACTACAAGTATTAACGTATAACTTCAAATATGTAACAGAATTTTATCGATTTTCCATCACTTTGTAGTTTCTATTTACATTTTACTATCATATTGTTTTGCTTGAGCATTAAAATTCTATCAAAGAACCATTAGAACTATGTGCAAAGTAAACAATTAATGAAATAAAACCGACGTATGCGTAAAGTACACGTACCTACATCTACGCGATTTACAGTATGACCAATAGGTTACACTTACGGTTTTTTAATAAAACAATTTGTAACAAGTGGTAATTTTCTATGATTTTCGCTTGATATTATTTTGCAGTTATCATACAACCACGTATAAATTCAAGTCTACGGCTTGATCAAAATTGAATAGCTTTTAAAATAGACAGCTTTTTTATTTTATCAAACCCTAAGATCGATCGTCTATGTATACTTGCAATGTTTTAATCTAGTACAGAGGTAGTATACCTACATAGTATACCTACAACTATTGTTGTATAAGTTCACGCGTATAAGGAACCTTATTAATGATATACCTACATATTGACTATTACATTAGCCTAAGTTGTCGATTATAATAGTATAATAATATGATAGAAGGAAAAAACAACTATTTCACTAGATGGAACGACTACTATACTCATTCTATAAACCCGCGCCATGTGCGACTACTAACGAAAAACAAAACACACCTATAAATTTACATATTTTATGTATGAAATTTGTCATCAACTATTAACTATGCGGAACATTTTAATATACAATAATACAAGTGTGCCAATAATTATACATATCGATATAATACGAGATATAATACGTATTTCGTGCTTAAAAAACGATTATATCGATTCGATCTGAGCAATTTATACGCATACCTATAGTGGCGGGAGAACAATTATTGCAGATTTGACGTCGACACGGCCCCCTTCCCCATTGAAAGTTATTTATAACCAAAAAAAAATGTTGTTTTAGTAAACCAATAACATTAATATACAAACCACTGCACAATGTACGTGTGTACCCCTATCCCCAAAACATGTTATTTCGTACATATCTTATAATACATCGTAATGACGTAAGTTAGGTACGTGTGGGGGGTAATGTCAAAACGAAAAACGCTTCGAAAAAACGTTTCGTCGACTCTCCCGCTTACACCCTGTATTCTCATATTATACCTATGAGCTGCGCGAAAACTCATTTATTAAAAAAAAACCAATTTGTAATGACGACGACGACGAGTAGTACATACCGACAGGTACCGTGTTTACACATTACAGCACGCCGCACGCGTTTCTCCGTAGTATTTTGTCATAAAAAGACGCGTAATATCGACACGCGCCTCGTCTACAGAGCAACACTCTATGAATATTATCGCTGCTGCTGCTGGTTCGTGTGACGAGCCACGGCCGGCGGGCGGCGGCGGCGGCGGTCTGTTTGACTGACATCCATATGGTCGCACATGTTGAACCGCTGCCGCGGCCGCCGACGAATGCCGCCGTAGCTGCCGTATTGTTGTTGCATATTATTATTATAGGTAGGTCGCCGCCGCCGCATAGAACGCGTTCCAATAAGCGGGCGCGCGCGCGACCAACACCATCACCGGTGAGTGGAACACGCCGGATAGTTGTGTATAATAGTCCATTGCATAATAACAATATTATTATTATTATTATTGCACACACGAATATACGCGCGATTGTGGCCACGCGATAACCTCGCGTCTCCCTCCCCTCTCCCAATTTCCCACCTTCGTGACGTCGAGCGCGCGCCAACGATACCGGGCCGCGCGCGGGAATCGCTGTACACGTTACCCCGTCACCGTTTGAACCACGGCATAGCTATGCGGTCTTACTGCTGCATCAGTCTGTGCAATATTATACGCGGTAGGTACGCAATCGTCGTCATCGTCGTCATTAAATTATTACCTGCATATTATTATTATATTATTGAAATATTATTCAGAAATATTACAGATCGGCTACGGCCGTGTAGATGAAACTCACCTTGGCCACCTGGAAGTAGTCGGGCCGGAGCGTCTCGACGATTTCCTGATCTGGTTTGATCTGCGGCGCCACTGAGGACCGTATACCGTCCAAAACGCCTTTGAACGTGAACTTCTTCATGTCGTCCGGCCGCGTTTTCGTCGAATGTCGTTTGACGACAGCAACAGCAACAACAACGAAAAAAGCAACACACGCGAGCCGCCGTTCACCACACGATCATAATAATATTATTTCGTCCGAGATTCCTGGTGGCGGCGGGACCGGTACACGACACGAGGGACAACGAAACCGCCGGTGCGTTCAGTTTGTCATTTTGGTGTGTCGCGACGAAAAAAAACCGTACGGTATAACGATATGATATATTATACGTTTGGTATAATATATTATTACGTGGCTCAATATTATATTGATATATTCTTTAAAAAAAAAATATGATATTGTAATCACACAGGAATACCTATCACAAATAATATCGTTTCGGACGAAGCGCGCCGCACACACGTCGGACGACGACTGACTGCAACGATCGTACTGTGTAGACCGAGAAACGCGACGCACGAAATGTGTGTACCGCGTAGCCGAGTGGCGCGCGCGGGCGCGTGTGTGCGTGATGTATATTATACAGTGTGCGTGTACCTTCGCGCGGCGCTACGTAGTGCACCGCGACGGCAACGACGGTGCCGTTTCCGCGTATATACTGCACCACCGCCACCACCACCGACGGCAGTTATCTCGCCGATATATGTGTGGGCGTGTGTGTGCGTGTGTGTACGCGAGCAGTATTATCTCGTTATCTCGCGGCGGACAAATGTAACGTGTCGCGCGCGTACGGTGACGGAGTACGACGACGACGACGCACGGGCCACGGGCAGACGCGGCTCAGCGTCGACGGAGTTCCACTCGGTACTGTGGACGCGCGTGCGCTCCCCCGTCTGCCCAAAACTCCTCTTGTGCGGGTGCGTGACGCCGCCGCGACGGCGACCGCCGGTGGGGGCGCCCTGCCGGTGGTGGCTGATAAAAGTTTACTATAATATACGCTACGGGCCCGCGTACCTCCCGCCGCCGCCGCCTCACGAGCGGTGTCCGCGCGAGGTTACGGCGGTGGCGGCGTTGTCGGCGGCCGTGGTGGCAGTGGCGGTGTCTGCAGCGGGGGCGGTGTGAGAAGGGTGGAGGGAGGGGATTTGTACGCGCGTAAAGGTGTTCGGTGTCGGTGGTGGTGCACGCGGCGGCGGGGGAAGCTTGCTGCTGCCGATCCCGGGCTGTCGCCAATCGTTAAACGGCGGCGGCGGCGGCAGCGGCAACGGCAGCAACGCCGCCACCGCCGCCGACGACGACGACGACGCCACCGGAGCCCCCTAAGGCAACTCGGGCATTTTACGTGTGTGCGCCCTCTCCGCGCGCCGACATGAGTACTACACACACATGCGCGCGCGCGCTCGGAGGGACACCGAAAAGTCTACTCTGACGCGGACCCTTCGTCCGGCAAGTGACTGGCGGCGCCTCTTTTTCGCGTGTGTCCGTGTGACGCTGGCCGTGACGCGCGCGCGGACTACCCTCATAGTAATAATAATAATAATATATGGTAATATTGTCATAAATATTATACCCGACACCACCAGTGATCTCCGAGGGTGACATCTGCACGTGTAATATTATTATGTTATAATTTAGAAAATGCATGTGTGTGCCAATTGATTTTTTTTTTTTACATCATCCCCGGTATGCGAGTCCGACAAAAATCAAAATATCATAATATGCGGCCCGGGATGTGCAGGCGCAATCGGTTTTGCGCCCAAAAAAAAACCGTTTAATTCATACCTATTTGGCTATCTGGATAGATAAAATACGCATGATTGATATTATGTACTATCTGATCCAACCGTACTCATCGAGATAAAGATAGTCTATAGATTACGTAGTAGCTGGAAAGAGGTATTAGATCCCTCCAAGACTTCAAATGTAATTCTAACCATCCTAAGAAAAAAGTTAAGACTCAAATTTGGAAAATAATTGGGGGCAATATAATTTTGGTCCATAAATTGTACTATTAACTATTTACCCACTTAGGCCTATACCGAGGGAAAAACATGTATCCAATAGTACAATTTGTAGGCCGTGATTATAATTTATAAACACTCTGAACTTCTAGTGAAATTTCGATTTTTTTTTTTTATGTTAAGTAAATAATTTTTAATTTATTGTGCATTTTAAATTAGCTAGGCGGTAGGTCGTAGGTGTACCTAATAAAACACTAGTACATAGAAAAAATAATTATCAATAATTGTCAATTTTTGAGGGCATTATTGATGTAAAATAAATTTTTTATAGACATTTTTAGCTATTTTTTAGAGCATTTTTTGATGGTTTTCAGAGTATTTAAATCCGGGGCCTAGTTATGACATATCATAATTATAAGTAGTAACTATTTTTACCGACCGTCTAGTCCGCGTATAGAGTACCTATGGACTATGGTGTAAAATAGGTAATAAATAATAATGGATTATAATTACCATATAATTCAGCCTTACTTTTTAATTATTACATATATTAACAATTTAAAATTTAAACCATAATATGGAAATTAGTGACCTTAATTTGGATAAACTAATAGTAATAACTAATTAGTTGTAATATTGACATAGTAGTATTTGGTGAAATCATTTATCGAAAATATTATATTATAATAACTGTATGAGATTATTGAGATTAAATTGAATTACATTTTATAATAATATGGGTTTCACATTAGTTATATCACCTAAGTAATACCTAATTAGGAATACCCCAAGTACCTAACCAAACAATTCCAATTTTGAAACAAACTAATTTAAGTAACTATAACTATATTTTATTGAGCTAGGCCAAAGTCTCAGCTCAAATTACTATTTAGGTATATATAATAATATAACGTATAATATGGTAGTTACCTAATGAAAGACATAAGTAGCGAATACATACTTCATAGCCCCAAATAATTAAGAAGTCCACTGTACCGATATAAAATGTGTATAATGTCTCTCTCTTCGGACAACAAAGTTTTGACGAAAATATTACAATCCCAACATATAACTAGGTACTAGTTAATACTTAATAGTTATTACTTATTAGTTATTATTAGTTATTTTATAATATTCAATGATATAAACGACAGTTTGATTAAAAATAAAAAAGGATATACCATGTATCACGTTTAAAAACGTTATGCATATAAAATCAATTTTGCGAACTTTTTATTATAATCTATATTTTATAGGTAAGAATATCTATAATTCATTGTATTTTTAATAAGTTATAATAATAGTTAATAATATAATTTAATATTATATCATATTATCTGTTATCTGTATAATTATTATATGAGTATTCCTGCATTTTAATAAAAACAACTTTACCAATAATTTAATAAAACGTAAAATTAACAGCTACCTACTTTATAAACTGACCGTAAGTACTAAGAACCTACCTATATATGATCTATAATCGTCTTAAAATAAAACATAAACTATGACATCAATAAATATTATTCACAACACATTTACATATTGCTGGTGAAATGGAGAGCTTAGGAATAGGTATTGAACTTGTTGTGCAAAACTATGTTTTATCACTTGTTGAAATCTTATTTTTATTTTTATATCTCATTTTTATTTTTATTACCTTTACATTTTAATATATGACCATATGACTCAAACCTTTTTTTCTTTAGAAAATATAATATATTTTTACTACTATATACATCCTTCCTCGTCACAGTAAATCTCAAAATTATTTTTATTAAAATGTACTCAATACTTAATACATAGATTAACATAAATATAACTTAATAAACTATTATTTATATTAACTTTATCATTTATCATTCAAAATATGTCAATTTATCAATGTTGTGTCCGCTTATTTAACAAGTACCTACTTTAATGTGTTATTAAATCTCAATTATATGGATGTTAAAATATGCACTTATGGATGAAAATGGTAAAAACGTATCTACTTGATAATCACATATATCACATTATCACATTTCACATTTATCATTCAGAGGTGGAACTGTGAAAAAGAGGAAACTAGTATTTATCTATACGAGCGTAACTAATTTTAATGGCATTAATTTTTTTTCAAAATATATTTTAACACCAAATACCAAAACACAATAAATAATAATACAAAACCAAATTATATTTGTTTTTAAAAATAAAAGTTTTTATAAAACTGTAAAGTAATATCCATCATGTGTGGATATGTCTGTGATTTAGGAAATGGACCATCGACCGACAGCGAAAATCTGGCAACAGAACAAATTTTCAAAGTTTTTGTATTTATAATATAATATATTGACATACAAATGTTGATTTCGTAGACCGAATAGAGTTTTTTTTGATAATAGTAGCTTAACTTTTTATTTTGTTTACTTATTGTGGTTGTAAACTTGTAACTTGTAATACCTATAAAGAGAAGGTAGGTTTCACAACGTTCAAATAGGTTGTAGACACCTTAAAATATGTGGGTTTGAAACTATATATGCATGCGGGAACGACTTTTCTCTGTTTTTGGCTTTTATGATTCCATTCCTCAAGTGCTATGTTCTCTTCATTTAAACTTATTCGTTTATCTTTCCCCGTATATTTTGGTGAAACGTGTGGATTTATCGATGAGTATCTCTTCATTTTCAGTAGTATCATTAGGACTCGTGGTGTAAATATACTTCTCAGTTGCAAGTATGCTCTTTCTCTTTATTCAAATATTCATATGTTTATCTTTTACTATGTCAACTGAGAAATTTAGTATAATATCATCTCACATGACAATTGCATGTGTATATGTAAGAGCATTGTGCATTTGTGTCATTTCCGTTCGATCATTAGAACTTTCACAATACTCCTATGCTAATTATAGCGTTCCTAATTATGACCACCCACTTTACTTTTAATTTTAGACATATGATTAGGTGCCAAGCAAATTCCAAAAAAATTACGCCGTTGCGTGTTAAATGATTAGGGAAATAATGTACCATATTATTAATGGGAAGAGGGCTGCAGGTGACATGTACGTTGTAGATAGTCCGTATCAGTTGATTGCGTCAATGTCTATATTTACTATTTTGGTTGTCGCCGGTTGTCGATCAATTAGAGCGATTCAGTCGATACTGTAGGTAGAATGGTTGTCTGTTGATCGAACTAGATGGTCAAAACCCAGTGAATTAAACTAAGCTAATCGTTACCATAAAGTTGCATAAAAAAAAAAATACGCTTTTTTTATTATATTAATTTTCCAAACGACGAACGTAGTTAATTGAAAATACTGATAAGCAATGATATTTAAAATGGTACGCACTATACCTGCCAACTCATTAGCATGCGATGGTTAAATATTAAATACCTACGCTGTAAAATCTTCTCCCCTTTTCTGATAAATTCGTTGAATGTCATAATTACACTGTATACTGTACACTGTACAATGTACTTATGTATTCAGTATGTACCTACTATTTAAAATAATATAAAATTGTACCCATGTGTTCTAGAATTTTTTCTATAACAGTGTCCAGTGATTGTTTTATTGTATTTTTAACTGACTAAGAAATAAGGATACCCACATGTTTCAGTTTGATTATAATTTTTAACTGCAATTCTTTTGTTCACTTCCATACTATGATACATATTTTTGACTTTCAAAATTGTGGATTATTTAACAATACTATAAAAAATATAAATATTCATAATCGATAGCCTAATAATCTATAAACATATTAACTTAAGTCTAAAACTTAATTTTGAATAGAAAATATAGTCGATATATTGTACAAGTATTAACTACCTACATATAAGTAGAAAAATGAAATATTCATTTTATCAAAATATGTATTCATTTAATAGATATAGAGCCTATAATATATATATATATATATGTCAAAACCAAAACTAGTTTTTTTTATTCTTTTACCATTTAATACTATGAAAAAACACCTGCCGAGGTGCGGTTAGCGGATGGTTTCTTAAACGAACGAACATGTATTTTTATTCTTCTATATTGCCACTCATGCTTATTGTACACTTATAGTACACAAAAGATTGTATGGTTAAAACAATTAAAAATAAATACTAAATTAATAATAAAATATTATGTTGACTAGTATTTTAATAAGTAAAAAGTAGAATCAATAAATTATAAAATTTAAATATAAAAATAATTTCACTAATTTAATTAGCGATCACTGAACGTATATACCTATAGGTAATATAAGTACGGTTTTTATTGATAATACACAAAAGATTTTTAATTTTTCTTGGCAGCTATAGCATTCTTATACTTATTTTATTTTTTTGTAGTAAGTCTAAGGTTTTCAATTTTCCTTTCATGCAATTTTTCCACATTAAGTCATAAATCTCATTTCAAACCCTGCGCTTACTAATTGCCTTTTGTATAATCTTTAGAAGTAACTTTTCGGTTTTAAATACTAAAAAAATGTATATTGGATATTTATTTTTAATTTATTCCTTGTAAATATTAATAAGTAATTATTACGAATTTACATAATTGCTAATGTTATTAGAAAACACGTTTAACACAATATATTAATGTATACGATCGTTTTGTCTAGATAATGAGCTTAAAAGTCTCCATTCACCCCCAACAAAAAGTATTTATTTAGATAAAGCACGTCCGAGTGTTTACAACACTAACCAGTTGGGAGAAATCCTATTAAAAAATTGCAACCTGTTTGGATCGATTATTTGTTCAGGAAAATGGTTTTTTATGAAATTGTAAATTTTTAAATTTAATAATCCTCAATTTTTTTTATTAGTAAATTTTATTACCAAGTATATAGTTTTGTTATTTTTTAACTGCTATGCATTGTTTATCAAATTCTGTAAAACACAAACGCCTAGTTTTATTCCGTATTAAATATCATAGGTATCCTTGTTTTAACAGTATTCATAAATTTTTTGTAAAATCCAGAAAAATTTGCAAAATATTAAGTGAATACTAAATATCAAATCTGAAATTTGTATGTGAGTGTTTTTTTGCATATTGTAACTATATAGTTTTCCGGGTAACCACCTTGGTATCTTCAAGCAGGTGATGGCCGATTATATTAAGTCAATATTAAGTATACCTACCTATATTAATGTTTCCTAGTAAACGACCAATAATACTTGACAAATTAAATAATATTACCTATGGTATTTCAATAATTCTACTACTCAGAAACTCGGAAGTACCTAAGGGCCAGTTGTAATTTCTATGATTATGGTTGATTAGAGTTTAATCGGCCGAATTTGCCCGATTAAATATCTGTTATCAGCTGATTAAGCTTAATCATAGTTTAATCGTAGACGGTACAACTGACCCTAAGTAGTTAGGGAGGTAGTTAAAGTTAGTTGTAGTTTACAGTATGCAATGGTATCACATTTTTAGAATTTTATTTATTTTAAGAGGACTACACCTGCATACAAATGTACAACATAGAAAAAACTGTTTTAAGCGGGATAGAACCACTCAAGCTGTACTGATATACAATATAATTGAGAGCATTGTCTGTGGAATATAATATCATTTTTCTTATATCACCTATACAAAAAAAAATTCTTATTGTTTCAAAATCCATTATTTTTGTGTTTTTCAAACTTGAATAACTTTTACTGTAGTTCCGATATCGAATAATAAAAACGATATTTCACAGTCAAAGTTCTCCTTTTCATGTGGTGAAAATGTTGTTTCTTAGTTCTGACTGTAGCCTTCTCGGGCTTTGTTATGTCATTAAGTCTAGAGCTCCCATATGGCATGCAGAAACTCAAAGCGAATCAGTTGAGTACCTATGGACGAGACGCTGGGAACAGTCAGAACCCCGTAATAAAGACCTGATCAAAGAACCATTTAAAAAAGTCCCTGGCTGGGATGGCACAAGGGCTATATGGACAACGCTTAATCGAATAAGAACGGAACAAGGAAGATGCAACTACCTACTTCACAAATGGGGAATGGTAGGCTCTCCACTTTGCGAATGTGGAGAAACGCAGACAATCAAACATATGGTTGAGTCGTGCCCCATTACAATGTTCAAAAAAGGATTAACAAAACTACACGAGGGTGGACCAACAGCTATAAAATGGCTTGAAGAACTAAATACTCGTCTGTGATTTTTATTGCTATTAGTATTCAGGGGCGGTTCTTGAGACGCCACAAGGGGGGGGGGGGGGGGGGCAGCGAATATATTTTGCATATACCTCATTTTGTCCTCCAAACATTTCTCTACCATCGTCTTGATGACCACGTAGAGGTATGTTTTGTCGCCCCAAAAATACAATACTATCAATAATTGGCCGTAATCGAGCCCTGTTTTCTTGTATTTCTTCATTTCTTTTTGAATGTAATATATTTATTATTTCTTTAGATGGTTCAGAGTATGTGGTTAGAAAATCAATTGCTTGTTGTGCAGCATTCTTATGATAAATAGTATTATTGTGTACATCCAAAGCTCCATCTTTACCTAGCAATTTGGCATATTTTTTTAGGGGCTCAGTTACTAAGGTTTTTAAGGGTTGTGTCTTATGCATACCACCAAGACTTGAAGTCAGAAACAATACACAAGTTTTACAAAACAAACCATGTTTAATATTTGAATATTCTAACCACGAGTATTTCTCAAAATGATTGACACGCAAATACCGTTTTTCAGCTTTCCCTTTTTTTTGTGGGTTGAAAAAGGAAAAATAAAATTTGATGCAGGGATGTTACTTCTTTTAACTATTAATGATTTAGTAAAATCATCTGCAGTTTCATTTATAAAATTTCCTATATCCGTACTATCAACTAAACTAACTTGATTGCTTGATGACAGTTCTTCAATTGAAGACGTGGACGTTGGAATTTGTGTATCAGGCATTTGTGTCTGCATTTCAATTATAGTTTTTTTTGCGTTACCATCAGTGTTACTCGTTCTACATTTTTTTGCTGAATTTGTTTCAAAATAAGACGTTATTTTATGTTTCGACATTTTTACAAAAAAACTGATGTTAAAACTTCAAAAACAATATTATAAAAACGTGAACGTTGTGAACTCAAAAACTGTTATTAACCTAATCTAATAATGATTAATGATAAACGACAAAACCATATTCGTGTTTTCGCAAAGCCGCAAAGGTAACGAGAGCAAAGTTAACGGTCTGTTGACTGTTTACTGATACCTCCTGATACGGCATATCACCATTGTTCTGTGATATCACGGTACATGCGAGTAAACCAATAAAGAACGAGCCCCCTCTATACTTCAATAGGAGTAAACATTTTTGTAAACAGTAAACATTTTGATAAAAATTAAAAAATAAAAATATCGCCAAAACGATTTTTACTAAACTGTTTGCTCATTTATATTTTTAGTTTTTACTCGGCCCAAGGGGGGGGCGGTCCACCTATCGCCCCCCCCCCCCCCGTAAAACCGCCACTGTTAGTATTGATGTTATTATAATTTACTATACCTACTATAACCTACCATACTAACACTTTATATATTTTATTACTTGTTTTTAAATAGTTGACTAGTTATCTTAATTATCATATTTATTTATTTGTTTTAATTTTACTAACCTTATCTATAACATTTCTCGCGTTATCTAAAGTCGAATATGTCATATGCAAATAATAATATTATTAAAATCTATTATCCATATACTAGTCATTACCTATAAAGATTGGAAAACATATCTAATTTTTATTTTAACAAAATTCTTTATTATTTCATCTGTTACAGAGCTGAACAATAAGTTTAATTGATAAAATAACAATAAATAATGACATGAAAATAAAAGAGTGAAGAGGCATCTCAATAAATTATGTATTTCGTCATGAAATGTTAGTTAATGTTAATGGTTATTATAACAACAATAATTGGTAGTTAATAATAGATATATAACTAATAATGATGATCTACATTTTTTATTTTTTTTTATTTTGGATAAACAGGTCACGAGACTACTGTCTAAAGGTTAGGTCAGATATATATCTAAAAAAATAATAAAAAATAATGATATAGGTAGGTAAGCCAAAATCATTATGTACAGGGGTAAACATTTCAGCACAGATTTTAGTTTTTTTATGCACATTTAATGGTGTTTAGGGCGTTTGCCTTCCATAAGCACTTATAATAATGTTTTTAAGGGATATTAGTCCTAAACGGTGAACACTGATAATAAAAATTAATACTTAAAAAATTCCCATACACAAATCTTGATCAGTGATCAAGTGATATAAAAGTGAATTATATTTTAAGTAACAATACTAATTAATACGAACTGTTAATCGTTATCGTCCTATATGCTTTCAAATTCCTTTGCCCCCTCACATTCAAACTATTCCATTTTTTTTTACTTATTAAACATATAAAAGACCGCGGCAGCTCTGGCCATTGATCTATATTACAATTTGTTTTATGCGACTAGCATATTGTATTTGCACGAATATTTTAATGATTTTCAATCTTTTAGATTATTCTTAAAAAAAAAAAACAATTTTCCGTTAGAGAAATATTTCTTTCAAACATAAAATATTATATTTATATCAGAATTTTTCCCAATCCAATATATTTAGCATATAATTATAGTATTTGATTTGAATGAGGGGGTGGGAATATGTGTACGTATTTATTAAGATTTTCTTTGGATTTTCCAATCATATATACCCGCTAATTATACCTACACACATTACACATTTATAGTTTATAGGTAGGTATATATGTAGGTAAATACAATAAATTCCGAACAAGTATAATGTAGACTGTAGGTATGAAATTGATATTTCTACAAGGAAACTGAATAATATAGATGACTGATGAGTCATGAGCATACGTTACAAACCACCCGGGGCATAATCATCAGGGGGCTCGTTCAAGACTCGTTTTCCTGTAGAATTAAATTGCATTGCTAAACACTAAATTATAATTTATACTCACTCGTGAATGATGATTTGAAAACGGGTTGATTGAAAGTCGTAGTGGATTGACTGCGTGGTGGCTAGAGACGGACGAGAAGAAAACATACGACAAAGATCGTTGTCGTAAACCGATAACTATTGACCACCGGAAAATGTCGTGGTTAAAGCCGGCTGCACACCTACTTGAAGGCGGGTTTCCACTATACACGTTTGCCGTGTACACGAAAAATTTTCAGCTATGTCCAACAACACGGTATCGTGGTTAATCGTGTGGTAACTTAACCTAACCAACCAATCACAGCAAAGGATTTGTATGCAAGTACACATACGTAGGTACCTGTATAGTGGAAACCTGCCTTTATGTTTTGTGTCGCATTTGTATATCAGTTTTGATTGGTTGAACCATATTTTTGATACCATCATACATACCAAATTCCAAACGGTAATATCACAAATGATTCTCATCTAACCACACATAACCGTGAAGCAGGGGAGGACTGGGGTAAAAAGTCGGCCCGGCCGATCATAGGTAAAGGCCCAAAAATTACACAAATATATATATTTTAATGGCAATAGGTTAGACAGAAGGGATTAGTACCAAGCTGCAGTTTTATAGATTGCATAAAATAGGTACCTACTGACAAAATAATCACGGCCCACTGGCCCAATAAACCTGTGAGGGCCCGCAATCATAACAGCCCGGTGGGGGGCGATCACCCACTTGCCCTTCGGCCCACTCGGCCCCTGCCGTGAAGTTGAAATAATTCAAGTCCTTCGTCTATTGGTAACTAAAGGAATGATAATATTACGAAAATATAATGGTCAACAATTATGGAAATTGAAAATGGTAAAATCTGAAAATCATGACACGGCACGAAATACGATGGGGTATGCAGCCAGCCACGTTCGCAGTGTTCACCATGCAAAGATAATAAAGAAATGGATGGGCCATCCCTATATACCTTATACCACTTATACACAGAGCATTCTGTGATCAAAAATAACTTTTGTTACCACAGTGGTTAGACAGTGGTTGCCGGATAATAATGATAAAGGGGGGTTCACACTACACCGTGTCATGTAAAATAATCATGGTAACTGTGGTAACCGTAATTGTATTACACCTACACGACACGTTGTAGTGTGAACCTGCCTTAACCAATTATCAATAGACAATAATCAATAATCAATGATACCGATATTCAGTCACCAATGCTATATTTTGTTACCTTATTTGATATTATCGGTTACAAAAGTTCTCTCCCGTCCCAAAAGATAGCATGTCTTTATTACCTATACAATAGTGCGGGGTACACCGTGCTGTGTCGTGCATGACTAAATAGAAATCTATTTAGTCATGGTGCTGTGTTCGATTTATTCAATAAGTTGATAAACAAAATGTTGATAACACGCGTTACCTTGAATAGACCTTTAAAATCGTATCGACACTCGACAGCGTTCTCTTTGAACCACCTATTACTATTACTATTCGGAATTCACGAACAAACAATTTTAGTGAGATTCCAAATCCACGCAGACCTACCTGTGAACACGATGAGCACCGCGACATTTCCTCCCCAACAAGGGGCACCAGAAATGTTGGTATGGACAGCTGCCCACCCTGCCCATACACTAGAACCGCCACTGGACCGATATGACGATATGGTTTACAGCGTGGTTCAAATATACAACGTTATTGCACATAGCCCATATTTTTATCAAAAAATAAATAAAATGTCAGCGTAAGGGTACGGTCGATATAATCGCATATAATATCATAGTATAGCCAGTATACGTCGTCCCCTTACAGTTAAGCTGCCATTTTAATTCCTTAACGTGATAAAACAATATATTGGGGGTACTATTGCAATAACCTTGTATATTTAAGCCATGGTTTACAGTAAACCACGAATCGCGAAATTAGTAAAAACCATTTTAATATTTATTGACGACTAATTATTGTTGAAACAATAAAATTGATCGTGTATGGGACCGTTAAGTGTTCACACTTGTTAAGTGACAAAACGTGTCTTGATCACCACCATCTCTGACGAAACTCGCTGTCTGTTTCCCGAGGATTACGCGCTACATGATGTTTCGTAAAGATAGGGTACACAAAGTCACTACATTATTCACACGTTCTTTGTAGGAATCATAAGACAGTTGAACAGATTCATACGTATCCGGCCTTTACTGATTTTATTTAAAAATTAGAATTTATTGTATTTACCTGCATAAATATATGCGTACAGGTTTGAAAAACCTAAATAAATCCTTGGTAAAATAATTGGGTAATGCGCTGTATAATATGACGATATTTAGTAATAAGACTATATGAGTTAAAATATACCTACAATAATATTATAAATTATAATACTAACTGACCCCGTGCACTTTGTTGCCCATTAAATGTATCAACTCTATATGACTCAAACTTTGTTCAATTCGTTATTTAATATTCGGTGTATGGTGTTCAAAATTCTGATTCACAGCAGTACCTATATTATCAGGTAGGCAATCTACAGTTACCAGTTACAGTAGATCGCGGACGCCATGCTGTTTGTACGTAAGTGTATAATTTAACTCTAAAGTATCAAAGTTATAGCAAGTTTGTCGTATTCCATCTATATAATGGATTAATGTAATCTATTAATACAAAATCTTAACCTAACCCATAACCGTCCTAAAATCAGATGAATAAAAAAAAACAAATTTAACCATTTTTAAATTAGCCTACCTTCTTCCCAGAGGTCTAATCTACACACAAACATTAATTTATACAATATATTTATATATATTGACAAAAAATAATAATACAAGTCAACAAACATGCCCGATTAACCAATAGAAACCAATAATTATTATTATAATAGCTTTCAAACCCATGGCAAACCATTTATAAACAAAAATGTCCACCTTAAATCTCTAAATCTCTGTTTGAGCACATCCCCTGGTTGGACCTAGAGGGATGATTTGTGAATCTAAACTATCCGTGGCGTCACCCAAATGCCTACAAAAAAATTCATTCAAATCGGTCCAAACTTTTAGGAGGAGTTCAGTCACAACACA